CAAATGTAATTTATAATTATTTAACAAATGTAATCAAAAATGTAATTTATAATATTAATATCACGATTACGTAGAATAATTTTGCTTAAACTTTTACTTCGCTTTACAGGTAAAGGTAAAAATTTTAACTTTACGAACCACTAATTAAAAAAAAATGTTTTTTGAAAGATTTTGGCTTTAACAAACTGTTGGAATTCGGATTATTTAACAAATATTTAATATCAAAAATGTAATTTAGATTATGTATTAATAACACGATTACGTATAATACATTTATTTAAACTTTTACTTCGTTAGATACTGGATGAAGGTAAAAATGTGAACTTTATTAACCACTAAAACAAAACAGAAGTGTTTTTAGAACGACTATATTTCCCCTAATCACCAAATTGTTGAAATTCGGATTATTTAACAAATATTTAATATCAAATATATAAATTACGTACTGATAACACGATTACGTAGAATATTTACAATTGAACTTTTACTTCGTTAGACACTAGATAAAGGTAGAAAATAAAATTTTACGTACCACTAATACGAAAAAAAAAGGAAGGGTGAAACGTTTTCAAACGACATTGGTTTTAACGAATTGTTGGAATTCAGATTATTTAACAAATATTTAATATCAAGAATATAATTTACGTTCTGATAACACGATTACGTAGAATACTTATATTTTAACTTTTACTTACTATTTAAACTTATACATTGGATAAATGTAGAAATTAGTAATTTACAATTAAAACATGGACAAAATCATTTTCAATTGCAATTAGTTTGTTGTTTTTAATAATATTATTAACTCAATGCAGAAATTGGAGTTAACGTTTTTTATTTGTTTATTGAAAAAATTTGTTTAGTGAAAAAATATTTTTTTCATGATGGTTCAAATTGCATCACTTTTTTTAACTCTACTTTTAGAATAATTTGGCCCTAAAAATTCGGAGTAAAATGGAGCTTATAGTTGAAAGATTCGATTCTTCAGGACTTTTGAGACTTTATCGAAGACTTAAAATTCTCATCGTAACATAGAAAATTGTTATTCTATTTGCATTATCTTTTTCAGTAACTTTGTGATATTTTATAAAACAAAAAACTTTGAAATTATTATTTAATTAATAGTCTTCATAGTTATAAATATTTGTAAAAATAAGATCTTTGCTTCCACTTTCAGCTTATTGATCTAGCTTTCGACTAATCAAATTTTGAATCAAGCAAATCTTCCCAGCGCTACTGTCCTGTTTAAAATTTAAATAACTTTACTGAATAAAGCGATAAACACACATTTACCTAATATACTAAGGATAAGTATAGAGAAAACAAAAAGATAAATCTTATAAAGTTTAGATTAATTTTATTTTTAAAGAGAGACTAATTTGAGTAGAGAAAAAAATATCCTAATAAATATATATCCTGTTTAAATTAATTAGTTTTAAATATATTTTTTTCAAAAAGAAAAAAACTATTTAAATAAATAATGTTAGGGGGTTATAAATTTTTCGAATATAGACAACGGACTTAAATAAAAAACTTTAGAGAACTTTAATAACTTTAGAGAATAGGTAATAAATAATTTGTCCAACCCTACATACAAAACAACAAATTTTAGCAAACAGTTATATGACAGGTAAAAATTATAACGGATTTAATCATAAAAAAAATTCCCCAAACCGTACCTCTTTCGGAAATTCAGAATTTTAAATTTAAATTAACTTCTTAAATATAAAAGAAAAACAACGTTCTTAAGTAACCACAGTTAATTAAAACTGTAATTAATTAAAACTGTTGTAAACAACAGTTAAGAGTTTTAAATAAGTGAGGCCTATAATCAGTTTTAATATAAAAAAAATAGCAAATTTAAATAAACAGCTTAAATACGATAAATTTTGTTTAATGATAGAAAACGTAACGAACTTAAATAACATTACAGGACCGTATTTTGTTCGAAAAGTAAGCAAGATGATTCAACCTTTAAAGCAAGATGATTCAACCTTTTAAGCTAGATGATGAAAACCTTTTAAGCAAGATGATTCAACCTTTTAAGCAAGATGATGAAAACCTTTTAAGCAAGATGATGAAAACCTTTTAAGCAAGATGATGAAAACCTTTTAAGCAAGATGATGAAAACCTTTTGAGCAAGATGATGAAAGCCTTTTAAGCAAGATAATGAAAACCTTATTTTGTTCAAAAAAAAAAAAATTTCATATGACTTACAATATAAAATGCAAAATTATTTAAGGAACCTAATTTAAACAACTTCCAATCATTTATCACTTAAATTTAAATTGTTACTCTGTAATGCGCCGTATAAATGTAAAAATAAATTTAGCTACTGACATAGCTGTTATATTGATATAGCAATATTGATAATATAACAGCAATATTTGGGAAAAAATTGGAGATTCAACTTTATATCTGTTGATTAGGTAGGTACTTTATTTACGTTGCACTAGAGCTGCACAATGGGCCATTGGCGACAGTCAGGGAAACATCCTTGAGGATGATCCGAAAACATGACATCACAATTTTATTCCTCTGTAGAGGTGATGGCTCCCCTGCTTAGGTAGCCAAACGACCTGCGCCCGAAGTCGGGCACTTTACGGCAGAACAATTTAACGAGGACCGATACCGTGCACCGTCGGTCCCTACGCAGCCTGATCAAAGTGGTCACCCACCCACTTACTGACCGCAGCCAGTGGTGCTTGCCCTCGATGTTCTACTTAGAACCGTGTCATATCTGTTGATTAAAAATAAAAAATATAATTGAGGTTCATTTCATAAAGTTTAAAATTTTACTAGTGATTTTGATTTGATTTTATAATTAAAATTTCAATTTCGTTATTTCCAAATCACGCATTAAATTTCTGTAAAGATATATATATATATATATATATATATAATCCCGTGCAATCAATTAGAAAATCACG